CCCCCCCCCCTATAAAAAAGAGCCATCATGAACAAGTGACAGAACAGTGCATCTATAATCACTGTGACAGCGTTTTTACACATTTAAAATGAATGATTTGGACAGCCAGGTTCTAATTCTGAAACTCCTAACACAGCATTGTGTTTACCAGACTGCATGTTTTGAAAATGCAGAATGTGAAGCATATTTATAATTCCTAATGGTAATCATTTTATCATTTTATGATAAAGTTAGCCTTATTAAATAGCAATACAAGTAAATAAAATAATCACCATTCGTTTTGCTCTGAAACTTAAATCTTATTTATCACAACCCTCCTGTCTCTTGATCATGTTCCCAGGGGATGGGGTCATTGTCTTGGACAGCAGGGACTGTGTCTCTCTCATGCCAGAACTGCTCCACGTCAGGGAGGATGGGGATCTCTGTCTTCTCAGTTTTCTCTTTGCTGGATGAGGGAGAGCTAGGTTTCGCTTCCTCTGGTATGGATGTTGGAGACTCTGGAGATGGAACCTTTCCTGGTAGGACCTCTGAGTTGCCAGCTGGTATTTCCTGAGACTGAGAGGCCCTTGGAGGTTTTTTGATTATCATCCATTTCCAGAAGCCTTTCAAGCCCTCCTTGAACTCCTCTGACATCACTAGAAAAATGAGAGGATTTGCTGAAGAGATGGAAAACATCAGGACTTGAGACAGGGCTATGAAGCCTTGTGGTGGGGTCGGGCCTCCGGCCTTCAAGTGCCATACCCACAACCAAGCTATCCATTCTGGGAGCCACAGGAGAGCAGAGGTGATGGCAATGCGCAGCAACATCACTGTGAGCTGCTTAGAGCGCAGCTGGTTTCTCAGATTTTGAGTCTTAGTTCCTCGTTTCTTACATTGGCCATAAGCTCTCCAGAAATAAAAGGTGGCAAAGAGTAATGGGAGGCAAAATACCAGGAGAGGGTAGAGCTTACCAAACATTGACATGAACTTTTCGGCCACAGCTGGTACATCCACGAGACACATTTCCACACCTGCGTGATGCCTGGTGGTGCTAAAAAACCATTCCGGCAGGGGTAACAGACTGGCCGCCGCCCAGATGGCCACCAGCACTGACCAGATGGTGCAGTTGTGGATACTCACTTGCTTGGCTGGGTCGCTTGCATACATGAAGCATGCTTTGGCCACTGCAACGATTGTCAGGCTCTTGGCTGCCATGCAGGTGTGGATGAACCAGTCAGAGGACTTGCAGACAAACCATCCTAGGTCCCAGACGCCTTTGGAGTAGGCTGTAGCTCGGACAGGTGCAGAAAACAGCAGGAGGAAGAGGTCAGCCAGGCTAAGGTTGAGAATCAGGGAGTGGATCATGGATGGCTTTCCTTTCCAAGCACTGTGAAGGAGGATGCCGATCACACACAGGTTCTCCACGAAACCCACCAGGCAGACGGCCACCAAGAGAGCTAGGATGATGGTTCTCCAGTCCTTGGAGTCAGAGGGCAGGTACCCTCCAGCAAAATGGAGGTAAGCCAGGGATGCGTTCATGGTGCTGGAGTTGGAGTTTGCAATGGCAGCTGCCAGCATCACCCTTTCCATTCGGCTCCTCCCAACACAAGTTCTCCGATTTAGATTTGTCTCTGCCTTAGCTCCTTTGCATAGGAAATGAATACTTTGTCATCAGTGTCAAATGACACCTCTGGACCCTCCCTTTGCTTCCTGAGAGCAGAACGTGGGAAAAGGTCCACTGCTAAGCCTGGCTCTGCTGTGTCTGCTGCTCTGCTGTGTGTGATGTACTTGCGACTGCGCTGAGTGACAGCAGGAGGGCATGGTTGCTGCTCATTAGCAAGTCTTAACCAAATTGTCAGCCCTGTGGAGCAATAAAAATATACCTATAAATAATAAATGAAGAGAGCACACATGCTAGTGGGACATGTCCCTGGCTAGGAGCAAGGGAGGAGTGATGGTGCTTGTCACTAGAGCCAGTCAAGCAATTATTTCCAACCAGCTATTTCTAAAACTTCACTGAGGTCTGTAATTCAGTAAACTACATCGGAAGCAAGCCCTTTAAACTTAGGCATGCCACAGCATCACTTAGATGGCTTGATCCAGTAGGTCTGAAATAGGTCCCAAGAATATGCCCCCCTGTTTTTGTTTTTTTTATTTAAAGAATTAAATTTTGTTTTAATCCTATTTATTTATTTTAATTTGACCAGAGAGGGATAGTGAGAGAGAGAGAGAGAAATTAAATAAGCAAGCCACAAGGTCCAGGATTCAAACTGCGATTGGCCATGTGTGAGTCCAGCGCCCCCAACCACCACACCACCTGCCGGCCCCAAATTTGCCCATCTAACAAGTCCCTTGGGATATTGTGGATCAGGAGAGTCACTGTCTTAAGCAACCAGCTCCGCTTCTCCTTCCTGCTTGGAAGAGGCGCTTCCTCTTTACCCAACCCTCACCACCACTTCAGCCCTGTAAACTGAGCTCCAACCATAGTTGGATATTGGGGGGAGGGGGGAGTTGGAAAGAAGTCCTATTTTATTTATTTTTAGAGAGATTTTTGCTATAGGGCACATGTGCTCGTCAGAGAGACAGAAAGTGAAGAAACACCTCCCCCCCAAGGAGGGATGCCATGCCACAATCCCTTCTTCATTCTCCTCTCGGAATCATGAGCATGCATGCACGCATGCCTGGCGTGAGTTTCAAGCCTCCAGGCCCAGAACGCAAACCACGGTTGGCCATGTAGGAGTCCAGCGCCTTAACCACATCCCCCCTGCTGCCCCCCCCCCCCCCCCCCGCCCCGGTCCTATTTTACAATTACAGATGACTGTAATGTGAGTTTTCAAGGGGTAGAGTCTGACTTAGAGCTGCCTAACATACTAATAAGACTGCTCAGCAAGTGCTGGTGAGGAGGGCAACCAAATGATGACCTAAGCTCCTTTCACAGGAATTCTTGTGAAAGAAATTTACTGCGATAAAAACTGAAGGAAAAAAACATATTTCTTCTGGAAGGCACTTGAAAGAGTCTAAAGAAATAGTGAAAAGAAAAAATATTTCTGGATAAAATGATTCTAGCACCTGTCTTGAAATTTTAGGGGCAGTTGCTTCCTAGCAACCTGCCCACCCAAATGTCTTTTGGGTGTACTTCTTTTCTAAAAATATTTCTTTCCTATTAAATTCTCTTTTCTACCAGCAGGTGGCGTTGGTGGGTAAGGCACTGGACACTTCCACATGACTGGCCATGATTCCAGTCCTGGACGTGGTGGCTTAAAGCTTTCTCACTTTCTCTCTCTCTCTGTGTGCATGTGTCTCTGGTCAAGTTAAAATAAATGAATGAATAAAATTAAATAATTCTTTAAACAATTTTTTAGGTATTCCAGGTAGGGGCTGGGGGATGAGGGGTGCTGGAATTGTTTAAAGGGGTCTGTGGATTGGGAATGAGGATACGTCCTATCCCAAATGTGGCTGAATTGGAAATGCTTTTAGCATGTTACAGTAGAGACTGCTGGGCTGGGGGTCAATCTTCTGGATTCTAGTACAAATTCTACTTTTATCATTTTTTCTCAGTAAGGGAAGGGCATGACATTTAAAATTCCCTATGTCCCAGAACTCAGTAAGTACTGACTAACACGGCTATTGAGAAAGCCGACAGTAGAGCTGGGTTTCTTTAATCCATTTCTTTTCTTCTTTTTTTTTTTTTTTTTTGGAGAGGTTTTTGCTATAGGGCACATGCGCTTGCCAGACAGAGAGACAGAGAGACAGAAAGCGAGAAATCACCCCCCAGGGGGGATGGCCACGCCACAATCCCTTCTTCTCCATTCTCCTCTCGGGATCTTGGGCACGCACGCACACGCGCCCGGCGTGAGTTTTAAGCCACCGGGTCCGGGACGCAAACCGTGGTCTACTACATGAGAGTCCAGCGATATAGCCATTACGCTAACTGCTGGTCCCTCTTTAATCCACTTTTGATTTATTTTCCTTCCCTCTCCTTCTGGAAATCATTGTACCTATAAAACAGTAAGTAAAAGAGGGTGGCGCTTTAACCAGTAGCACACAGTACTGGGAACAATGAAATATCCTTAAGCAAGCCTTCACAGTGCCAACTGGGAAAGCCCCAGAGCTGAGAAGGCTTGCCCATAATGTTTACCCACCTTTTATTTTCTTTTGAGAGACTTTTGCTATAGAGCATGTGTGCTCGCCAGAGAGACAGACAGAAAGCGAGAAATCACCTCTCAGGGGGGATGACCATGCCGCAATCCCATCTCCTCCATTGGGATTTTGGGCACGCACATGCGCCTGGAGTAAGTTTTAAGCCGTTTTAAGCTGCCGAGTCTGAAACTGGATTGCTGGTCGACTACATGGGACTCCAGTGATGTAACCATTACGCCATCTGCTGGTCCCTGTTTACCCATTTTCAAAGAATGCACCTGGAGGTCCAGTGGGGGAATGCAGAGTTTTACTTAGAAGCAGGACAGGATGCTCCTCTGACCGGGTAGAGAATGGTCCGGGCCATCACTGAGCACAGACTCAGATTATTCACATTCAGATGACAGAGCACAATCCACCACTGGTGAGATCTGCACAGACCCTGTCTGCAAGGCTAGGGTCTGGTTTCTACACTCATTGAAGATTACAATAAGGGGCCGGCAGGTGACATGGTGGTTAAAGGCGCTGGACTTCCACATGGCTGATTGGGGTTCAAGTCCTGGACCTGGTGACTTGCTTTCTCACCTTCCCTCTCTCTCTTTCTGTGTCTTTCTCTGATCAAACTGGACAATAATAGTAAATAATATTATATAAAATAATTCTTTAAATAAACAAAGATTACAATGAGAGATTCACCCAAGAGCATTCACCCAAGCGAGCACATTAATACAGTGCTTCCGATCTTGGGAGGCTGACGTGAGAGGGGCGAATGCCCCTCTCAGCAGCCCTGATCACAAGTGAGTCCATGAGGTCAGGGGACGTTCACGACGTGTTCACGAGGCCCAGCTGGACCAGCAGCCATGTCTCGAGGAGTCAGGGCCAAGAGAGGAGGCGAGACGGGAGGAGAGCTCAGTGTGTGGAGACCACCTGCACAGCCTCACTGTTGGGGTGAAGAGTCCCACACTGACGAGAGAGCAGAGGGGTGTGGAGAGAAACACAAGTGTTAGAGCAAGTGAATGTTTTGCAAACGATAGAAAAGTCATTCCACCTGATATTTGTGTAAAAGAACTCAGGACAGAAAACAAATACCGCTTCATATCACGGCGTGTAAGCTGATGCTCAGGCCCCAACGGTGTCTGAGAGAAAAAGTTAAATAGGCTCAAAAGAGCTTTCAGTCATGGCAGTTTTGACTCTTACTAGACAACAGAGGGAACTAGACTTCGGGTGGTTCTTTCCAAATGTATTGAAATTGACTCAGGGGGAATCCTCAGGTGCTCCAGTTAGGGACAAAGTGGCCTGAAGGACTGGAAGATAGCTTTCTTCATTCTTTAGGTGGAAATTTATTTTTACTTTTTTTTTTTTTTTTGAGAGATTTTTGCTATAGGGCATGTGTGCTCATGGAGAGACAGAGAGAGACAGAGAGACAGAAAGCGAGAAGTCACCCTCCAGGGAGGATGACCACGCTGCAATCCCTTCTTCATTCTCCTCTTGGGATTTTTTTGGGCACACATGCACACACATCTGCTGGGTCCAGGACACATGCACACGCATCTGCTGGGTCCAGGACTTGAACCGCAGTCGACTACATGGGAGTCCAGTGATATAACGGCTACACCTTCTGCTGGTCCCTATTTCTACTTTTCACTTTAAAATAATTGCAAATAGAAAAAAATTTAAGAATGTTATACCCTTCATGCAGGTTTACTGGCTATAACATCTTGCCGCAGTTCTTTTTCTGACTTCAACAAGTTTGTGGGAAAATAGAATTAAAGTGTAAGTTTATTTCAGTGCAAAAAAAATTTGAAATAGTTTTCATTGTACTTATTTTCCATGAGCTTTTCTGAATGCACACACACATACTCACATGTAGGTATACATACACATATGCACGCCGGGTTCTGTTCTCAGATGACGATGCGGAGACATCGAGAAATAACTTGCCATGGGTCTGTAGCTCACACAGCTAGTAGATGACAGATGTGTTATAGGAATCCTTGTGGGTCTGATTCCAGAGTTTTTCAGCAATATGTAACCTGTCTCACCAAGGAAGTTGTGAGATACTGTTTTTTAAGCAATGAGATTTTCAAATTGGTATAGTTTCTGCAATAAGGATGACTATGTTGAGCCTTTGGTAGTGGGCACACAAAACTTGTGTACTTTTCCTTCAGTGAATACTTACTGAGCAATTTCTCTTCTGTGCTAGGCTGTTAAGAGAGTCCCTTTTTTTTTTTTTTTTTTTTTTTTGAGAGGTTTTCGCTATAGGGCGCGTGCGCTCGCCAGACAGAGAGAGACACAGAGACAGAAAGCGAGAAATCATCCCCCAGAGGGGATGGTCACGCCGCAATCCCTTCTCCTCCATTCTCCTCTCGGGATCTTGGGCACGCACGCACACGCGCCCGGCCTGAGTTTTAAGCCACCGGGTCTGGGATGCGAACCGTGGTTGACTACGTGGG